ATTAAGACAAGGAGTGGCCTGGAATCCTAGCCCTAGGAAGGCAGAGACAGATGGATTGCTGGGACTCATTGACCCGTTGGTCTAGTTCAGTGACAGACCCTGTCTCAAAAAGATAAACTGGAAAGGTGATTAAGGAAAACATGATGTTATCTTCAGTGAGAGTGTTGCACATGCACGTTCACACACACACGCGCGCACGTACTTCGGCGAGAGTGTGTGTGCACACGCGCACACACGAATACACACATGCTCGCACACACAATATCCCTAGCAGATCCTTTGGCAGGATGATGGGTTTGAGCAGGGCACATCACTGAATTTAAACTAGCATCCAAAAGTACAGTTCACCTTTCCCAGAGGTCCTGGGAACTGAGATGCCCAAGTCCTTCCAAATGCCACCCTGCATCCTCCGCCTCTAGGGGACTATGGGACCGGCTTCAAAAGTCAGGGATGAAGACAAACAATGGCTCCTCACTCTGCTGTGCAAGGCTCCCTGGTCCTGGTTAAAGCTTGTCTCTTCGCATGGACCCTCAGCCTCTCTCTCCTGAAGCACCGCCAGCTGGCGGGTGCTGACAAGGCCAACTCACTGTGTGTGGCTGTGTGTGCACCTCTGCATGCTGGGCTTGCATGTTTTATTTCTGGTTTCAGACTGAATAAGGATTCCAGTCCTAAGCAAAGGGAACTCTACATAAATTATTAGCAAGGCTGTGTTGGCTTTGTGCTCAGGTGAACCTTGCCCCAGTTTGAGCTGCTGCCTCCACTGCTCCGTAACAATAAGCAGCGGACTGACGTCAGGGACAGCTGGCCCACACTCTCAGTAATACTTCCCCAGTGGGAAGATGCTTTGTTTATGGGATGTTGAATGGTGAAGAGGCCAGTGTGGCCTCGACAAACCTAAACATGACGCTAAGACTGCCATGGGCTGGGAAGTACTGCCCAGCAGTACCTCACAACTCGCTTCCCTAGGCTGTGTGGAGCCCTCTGCAAGCCCAGTGATCACTAGCTAGAAGTGCATTCCCTTTTAAAAGATTTATTTATTTTTATTTTACATGTCTCAGTGTCTTGCCTGCCTATATGTCTGGTTACCACATGGGTGCCTGGCGCCCACAGAGGCCAGAAGGAGTTGCATCTTCTGGAACTGAAATTACGGATGGTTTGTGAGGCGTCGTGTGGGTGTGGAAAACTGAACTTGGGTCCTCTGCAAGAGCATCACATACTCCGAAGGGCTGAGCTGTCTCTCTGGCCCCAGGAGTGCATTCACTTTTTAGAAGCAATCTGCATTGTTATGCTCCATGTAGCTGACTACAGAGAGAAAATAATTTGTGCTTGGTAAAGGAAGTAAATTAAATGCGTTATTAACGCTAATAAGAAAGTTATATCCGTTGTAAGGCCAGAAACTAACACAGAAGAGTCAATGGTAAGAATGAACCAGTTTGCTCTAAAGTAACTAGTGGCAGCTGGGGGTTGGGAATCAGGAGGAAACTATAAGATGATCAACTAAGTTTGGGTGGGGTATAAAGTATTCCTTCCAGTCTGTCCTTCGCTTTTGAAGTCAGCCACTATAACAAGGTGGTTTGGTTTGGTTGTTCTGCTGTTGGTTCGGTTTGGTTGTTCTTTTAGGTATCTGACACAGTCGTAAAACACATTAAATGAAATCTACACAGAAGAGTGCTGTGTGTACACAGAAACCCGTGACCCCTCACTGCAAAACCTAAAGGCAAGGTTGGTTTTCACAGTGACATTCTAAACATGCATGGTAACTTGAGTGGCTGATTCTGAAAAGATACATAAGAATAGCCATGAGGGGCTAGAGAGATGGCTTAATGGTTAAAAGCACTGGCTGCTATTCCAGAGGACCTAGGTTCAATTCCCAGCACCCACATGATGGCCCACAACCATCTGTAACTCCAGTTCCAGGGTATCTAATGCCATCCTCTGATCTCTGAAGGCACCAGGCATGTGCCGGCAAAACACTCATACATATAAAACAAACTAAAAATAAACTTACAAGAAAGAATAGCAATGAAATTAAGGAACTGGATCAGTAGAAGGTTCATTTGCTGTGAAATATGAGGACCTGGATTATAATTCTCACAACACAGGTAAAAACAAACCCACGTGTTGATGAACCGCTGGAGATGGGAGGGGTGGAGACCCAAGGGTTGATGGGGCTTTGTGTTCACCAGGCTAGATCCAGGTTCAATAAGACACCCTGCCTCAAGGCAGAGAGTGGTAGAGCAGGATACCCCACACCTCTGGTCTCCACACAGGCACACAGATTTGCACACTTCCACACACACATGCGTGCATGCTTGCATGCACACACATGCACACGTATAAGTATCATACACTGAAAGGAAAAATATCAGCTCAGGACCGCCAAGGCCAAGTTCTCAGCACAAAGGGGATTTATTTGCCCCAGAGGGACAGAAGACAGGGAATAAGAGACAAACACAGGAGACAGAGGACAAGAGAAAAGGGAACAAAGGAAGAAGACAGGGCCATTTGTTTTAGGGGGACAAGGGACTGACTACCTATGAATAAAGAGGAGACAGATGTGGCACATAGGAAAATGACAGTTTATAAAGATACAAGGGGTTGGGCTGGAGAGATGGCTCAGCAGTTAAGAGTACTGGCTGCTCTTGCAGAGGTCCTGAGTTCAATTCCCAGCAACCACATGGTGGCTCACAACCATCTGTAATAAGGTCTGGTGCCCTCTTCTGGCCTGCAGACATACATGCAGGCAGAACACTGTATACATAATAAATAAATAAATCTTAAAAATAAAAGTATACACATAAAGGCACAAGGGGAAACCCCGCATTAGGATGAGGTATTTAATTTTAATTGAGCATGCTAATTAGGTGAACCAAATGGGATTTTTGTTTGCTTATCTATGTATTTGTTTTCCTTTATTTTCCCATAGAAGGTTTCTCTGTGTAGCCTTGGCTGTACCCTGCAGACCAAACTGTACTGGAACTCACAGAGCTCTGCCTGCCTCTGCCTCCCAAGTGCTGAGATTGCACCACCACCACCTAGCCAAATGGGGCTTTTGATTGCCAGACTTCAATACTTTGAGAGTTGGACCTTGGCAGTCATCCTCAGGAGGAGGAAATGGCCAAATAAGGGGGTTGAGCTACAGTAATTTAATCTAATGATTTTTAGCAAGAGAGAGGGAACTGGGGAGAAGAGCAAGGCCTGCCAGAGCCATGCTCATGTGCTCCAGCTGACCAGAGTTACTTCACACTCAATAATAATAATAATAGCAATAAAATTGGAAGACCCAAATGAGTGAGAAGGGAATTAGCCTCCCAAGTATCAAAACACAGTGTAACACTATAGTTAAAACCCTGAGACAGTCGCATGAGGAAGTATTATGGTAATAAAGTAAGGGTAGAGATGGGGGTAGATATATAAACACAGTTTGATAAAGAAAGCGTTTTCAGTCTTTTTCTGCCTGATTTGGAATAAATTCAATTTTTAATTTGGAAAAAAAAAACTATGGATTAAGAAATATTTACTTTTATATTATACTAGTTACTTTTTCTTCTGCTGTGACCAATGCCCAACAAGGAAATGTTAAAGAAGAAGGATTTAGGGGCTGGAGAGGTGACTCAGAGGTTACGAGCACTGACTGATACTCCAGAGGTCCTGAGTTCAATTCCCAGCAACCATATGGTGGCTCACAGCCATCTATAATGAGATCTGGTGCCCTCTTCTGGCATGGAAGGAATGTTGTATCCATAATAAATAAATAAATAAATAAATAAATAAATCTTTAAAAAAAAGAAGAAGGATTTATTTAGGCTCATGACTTGAGGGTACAGTCCACCCTGACAGGTAAGTCGAGGCAGCAGGGTGAATCACAGCAGTGCTGGCAGGAGCCTTTGCTGCTCACTTACATCTGCACGGATATGGAAACAGAGATGGGACAAGAAACAGGGCTGTGCTCTAAACCTCAAAGCCCAACCCCTAGGAATCCACTTCCTCCAGCTAAACCTTCCCTCCCTACAGTTCCACACCCTCTCCATGAAGTGCCATTATCAGGGGACCAAGTATGTAAACTCATGAGACCGTGAATGCTATTTTATGTTCAGACCAAAACATAAATCAGTATTTCTCTTTCATAACTCATTTCCATGTTTATGTTGCTATAGAAAGGTGCATCTTTCTCTTAACATCTTAAGTTTTAGACCTTTATACTTGAAAAAATATTTTAACATTTGTTTATATGTCTCTCAAAGGTGAATACTGTAACACTCAATAAAGGGAAACTATACAATTCCACCTGCATGGAGCTCACAGCCAACACTTACAGATACAACATAGACAATACATGCATCCATGTGTATGTATGCAAACATATACAGACCTTTGTATGTATGAGCTTGTATGGGCTTGCTGTAGTGTTGTGAAGGAAATGTCCCCCATAGTTCAAACATTCAAATGCGTGGTCCCATTTAGTAGCTGTTTGTGGCAGGTTAGGAGGTGTGGCCTTGTTGGGTAGAAGTACGTCTCTGAGAACTAGCCAGTACTAGTATATTGTAGTAGTATAAGACTAGACTTTGAGGTCTCAAGATTTGCCCCATTTTCAGTTTTTTCTGTCTCTCTGCTTCCTTCGTGGTGTGCAATGTGAACCCTCAGCAGCCTGCTTGCTGCTTTAGTTACTATGTCCATCTGCTTGTTGCCATGTTCCCTGCCACGATGGTCATGGACGCTAGCCCTCTGGAAATGTGAGCCCCAAATAAACCCTCCCCCATGGAAGGAAGCTCCTAAAGTTCTGGATGATAGAGAGGGGGTAAAACAAAAGGATATCCTAAAGGGAAGTAAACCAGCCCAGTCTGGAGAAAAACACCTTAAACTCAGGAAGTAAACAACTCAAAAGCTTCAGGAAGTCCCTGAAACTGACCAGATTCACTAGGCAGGGTTCCCAAGTATATATAAGCTGTAAGGACTGCTGAACCACCTGGAAGAAGCAGAGCCCAGCTGAGCCACCAGAAAAGATTACCACCCACAACATGTTAAGCTACCTGCAGGTTGGACAGCATGTTCCGGGTTGTGAAAATTATCACTCATGATGGGGTGGGCTCTTAGTGATTCTGTCTTCAAGTCATTCTGCTCCTTGCAGAAGCCTATCACCCATATTCTGTAAGTATCCCCAATAAAATGGCTCTCCAAATTGGGCTTGGGTGATTTCTGCTGTTGGCTGCCTATCTGGGGTGAGTAGGCATCGCTAGGAGAGCTGCTGGGTCCCCCACACATCTGTGTGCTATGTCAGATAGCAGGAACTGTCTCAGGAGACTCTGCCAAAGCCACAGCCTTATACAGCAGTTCTGTGAAGTTGTCTTCCTGGGAACTGCCTGCTCAGTCTTGGACCGAAGCCACCCATGCTACTGATCCCTAAAGCTGAGCATTATTGTTTCAAAACAATTTACGTAATCCTCCTCATTTCTCCCTCAGACACCACTCGTCTTTCTGAATACATCCATAATTTACCACGGTGCTCATCTTCTGAGGACAGGATGCATGCCGAATTAAATTCATTACCTTCGCAGATCCGTTTGTGTGTACGTGTGCGACAGTGTGACGTTTCTTTGGAGACCACAAGAGGAAAGAGGGGAGGGTGAGAAACAGTCCTGAAGCAGGTCCTCACGCTGTGGTTTCCCAGGGAGAGGAAGGTGGCTCAGTCCAGGTAGAACTGCTTGGGTCATGGCTAAGGCCTCAAGGTGCCTGTGGCTAAGAGGTAATGACAGTAGAATACGGTGGAAGGACAGGCTCCACAGAGGGAAGAAGCTACCAGAAAATGGAGCAAGAGGTGGCAGAGACAGGCCACAAATGTCAGATATGTAAACTGTTTCTTGGGCTTACAGGGGGTCTACCAAGCTTGTTGAAGGGGACGGAAGAGGGACATGGCCAAATAGGCCTAAGAAGGACCCCTTTGTGGCATCTTGGAGAGGCAAGCAACAGAGACAAGCGCAGCTGGAAGAGGAAGAAGATGAAGGTGATTTGGGAGAGTTCACAGTTCTGCTTGCCCACACGCTGGTACCACAGCCCCGTGGCAAGTAAACAGCAATGCATGAGAGTAAGCACCTTCTATTCATTCTCTGTACAGCCAGAGAAGAGGAGGTAAGGGCCCCTGAGGCTTTGGAAGCCCTCATTTGAAAAAGCCTATTAGCTGGATATTTAACACCTGAAGCCTGAAGTCCCCCTCTTGTGGGAGACTTGAATCCTCACTGCCACCGCTGGGGCCTTATCAGGGCAAGGCGGCACCTATCTCAGCTGGCTTTGGTTGCCACCACAGCATGGTACAGAGCAGACAGCTTAAAACAGCAAACAGTCATTACGTTATGGTACTTCAGGTTGGCATTCTGAAAGGAAAACCAGGGACCGGGCTAGTTCTTCTGCAAGTGCTGCCTCTGGCTTGAGGTGGCCAACTTCCCATAACTTCTGTGTGTTCCAGTCTCCTTTTCCCAAAAGGATTCGCACCCCATAAGTGCCCACCTTGACAACCCCACTTTATCTTAAGTACCTGCTGTGTGTCTGTGTATACACATGTGTGTATGAACACGTGGGTCGCCAGAGGACAAGCTTGGGTGTCTTTCCTCAGGCATCATTCAGTCATTGATTGATTCATTGATTGACTGACCCAGGATCTTTCACAGGCCTGGAGCTCAGCATGTAGGCTAGGCTGGCCCAGGGATCCCAGGCATCCTTCCTTCACCTGCCCGGTTCTGTAGTTACAAGCATGTACCACCCAACCCAATCTTTTTAAATGTGAGTTCTGGGGATCAACACTGAGAACCATGTCTCCATGTGCAATCAGATCCTGAGTAACCGAGGTTCAGTACACAAATTTAGAAAGACTCAGTCCTGCCGGTGACAGCATCTTCACAGATGTGGGCACACCACCCGGAGGTCGCTCCATCCTCCTGTCCTGGGTGAGCTGAGGAGCCACTGGCTCCCAGTCCCCTCAGATCTGGCCGTTGATTACAAGGGAATGGAGGAGAGGCTTACCGGCTTCGTAACACTCTTCTCTCTGATGGTCACCTCCACAAGACCACCGGTGGACAGGAGAAGACTCCCTGATGACCCCAGGAGACATGCCTTATTTCCCTGAGGCTACACAGCTGCACCATTTCACCGGGAGCTCCCTTGCACAGGGCATGGGAGCCTGGCAAGTTGTCTCACTGCGCCCTCTCATCAGCCAATATGCACAGGGTGGCTAGCATCCTTTGTTCCTGAAGGTGGAAACGGGCTAGGCAGTGTGGCAGCTGGCAGTTATTCACTCTGCGTCTTAATTAAGCTTCTGTTGCTGCGTTAAACACCGTGGCATAAACAGCTTGGGGGTGAAAAGGCTTTTTTTCAGCTTATAACTCCCAGGTCACTCTCCCACCTAGGGAATACAGGGCAGAAACTGTAGCAGGAACCTTTAGGAAGGCACTCGAGCAGAGACCATGAAGGGGTGTTGCTTCCTACCTTGCTCTCCATGGCTTTCTCGTCTGCTTTCTTATACCATCCCAGGACCACCTGCCCAGGGATGCTACCACCCACGGTGAGCTGGGCCCTCCCGTATCAATCATCATTCAAGAAAATTCCCCACAAGCCAATCTTCTGGGGGTGTTTTCTCAGTCGTGGTCCCCTCTTCCCAAATGATGATCGCTTGTATCAGACTGATATAAAACCTGCCAGCACACCACCCTGAGCTCCATCCTGTTTATCTCCAGTCTAGTTTTATCCATGTCAGTCCTGAGAAGACATACTGAACAGTAGTTAATCTTGATTCTCAACATGATGGCATTTGGAGTCATGCCATCTAGAGGAGACATACCTCTAGGCTTGACTGTGAAGGTGTCTCCAGAGAGGTCTCATTGATGAGGGAATGCTCACCCTATAAGCTGGGATCCCAGACAAATTGAAAAGGCAAAGAGGAGAAAATGAACTCAATACCAATATCCGACTCTCTGCTCCCCGAGTACAGACACAGTATGGCCAGTGCCTCACACTCATGCCGCCATCTTTCCCTGCCATAATGGGCTGTCGCCTCAAATTGTGATCCCAAATGAGCCCTTCCTTCCTCAAGCTGTTTTTGCAACTAATTCAACCCCTACATGCGGACCTCAGGAGAATGGTAATTGCTATTCCCAATGTAAATGTAACCTCCATACCCCTGAGCTTTCAAACCTGAAAGGTCCCCTCTCAGGGACACGTCAGGGGCTGAAGGTGGCATGCTGGAGCTGTCAGGAGAGGCCTGCTCCATCCTCTGGCTCACTGCCTGAGTGCGGAGCCTGGAGCTCAGCCTGAAGAAGCTGCTGGTACACAGGATGTTGGTTGTTTTGTTCTTGCCTTGGTTTCCAGAAATTGGATTTTTTGATTTGTTTTGTTTTCCTCTCATAAAAGATTCCTGTTTAAATTTCTAATGTTGGGCAGATAAGACTGTTCTGTGGATAGAGGCACTTGCCACCAAAGATGATCTCATTTGGTATCTAGGGGCCACATGGAAAGAAAGAGAATCTATTTCCACAAGTTGTCCTCAGATCACCACATGTGAGTTACACACACCACATGCATCACACATACACACACATTTAAAAAAAAACCTAGTGTTCATATTTTTGGAAATATGAATATACTTTGTATATTACACAGATGCTGTTTATTGCTGTAGATTGAACTGTGCCCACTCCAACCCAAAAGTTCTAACCCCTGGTACCTCAGACCGGGAGCTGGATTGGAAACAGTTGATACCCACATAATTCACTAAGAGGAGTCAAGTCCTGGAGAAAAGCGGGCTCCCTATTCAGTATGACTGGTATCTGTATGAGAAGTGGGAGGTTTTGACACGGAGAGGCATGTGCTGTGGAATGTTCCAGTACCCTGTGTGAAGATGTGTCACTGTGATTGGTGTAATAAAGAGGTGAATGGCCAATGGCTAGGTAGGAAGAGGTTGGGCGGGACTTCTGGGGACAGAGAGGTCTCTGAGAAAACAGGAGGATTTGCCCGTCAGCTTGGGAGAAGCAGCATGAGCAGTAAGGAGAGATGAGGTGATGAGCCACACGACAGACGTCTATGAAAATGCATGGGTTAATTTAAGTTATAAGGGCTAGTGGGACAAGCCAAGCTAAGGCCAAGCTTTTATAATTAATATTAATTCTCCATGTCATTATTTAGGAGCTGGTGATACAGAGAAATACTCACTACAGGCATGAGGGGAGAAGTCATACGGATGGGAAGATAAAGATGGAGGCAATGAATCTGCACGCTAAGAAGGACACCCAGATCACCAGAACTTAAGGGAGGCCTGGAGCAGGTGCCCACATACACTTCAGTCCTGGTCCTCAGCCTCTAGAGCCGGAAGCACTTCTCTTTTTCCTGCCACCCCTATCACAAGTTGTTTGTTTCTTCACTCAGTCCTGGAAAATTAAAACAATGCTAGAAGACGTTATGGAACCACCCTGCCTTTTTGTATTTTATTTTACCCAAATGCATAGCCAGTCATATCCCCTCACTTCTACGTTTTGGGTTTGTTGTTGTTAGTTTTGTTCCTTTGAGACAGTCTCTCTCACAAGTGTACCAGGCTGACCTTGAACCCACGGTTGCCCACACCTGGTTCATGCAGATGGAACCTGGGGCTTCATGTTTAGGCAACCGCTCTACCAACTGAGTTGCACCCCAGCCCTCATTTCTGCTTCTTAAAGTGTGAATTCATCTACTTGGTTCTCCGAATCTTTCCTTCTGCTGCCTCAAACTCCATTTCTCCTGCTGCCTTTCTTCAGCTGATCTTATCTTTCTGTCATTTGTCATCAGTTTTTCTGCATTCTGTCTTAGGGTTTCTATTGCTGTGAAGAGACACCATGACCATGGAAACTCTTATAAAGGAAAACCATTACATCAGAGTGGCTTACATTTTAAGGGGTTCCATCCATTATCATGATGATGGGACATGGCAGTATGCAGGCATATATGCTGCTTGGTTACATCTTGATCAGAAGGTAACAGTGACTGGATTGTGACCCTGGGAGTAGCCAGAACATAGAAGACCTTAAAGCCCACCCCCACAGTGACACATTTTCTTCAACAAGGTCTTATCCACTTCAACAAACCCACACCACTGAATAATATCACTCCCTTTGGTGGCCATCTTCTTTCAAACCACCACATTCCACTTCCTGACCCCCAAAGGCTTGTAGCCATATCACGATACAAAAATGCATTCAGTTGAACTTCAAAAATGCTGATAGACTATCATAGTCTCCATCTTGTTTTGAAGTCCAAATTCCCAAGTCCCTTCTGAGACTCATGGCGATCTCTTAAGTGTAATCCCCTGAAAAACTAAAATCAAAAAGCAGATCACATACTTCCAACATATAATGGCACAGGATGTACATTACCATTCTAAAATGTAGGGACAGGAGCATGGTGAGGAAATACAAGACCAAAGGAAGACCAAAAATCAGCTGGGCAAACTCCAAACTCTGCATCTCCGTGTCTGATGTCAAAGAACTCTTTAGATCCCCAGCTCCTTTTAGTTTTGTTGACCACAACACCCTTCTCTCTCTTGAAGTGCCTCCACTCCCTGTTCGCAGCTCTCCTTAGCAGATATCCAATGGCTCTGGCACCTCTAACATCTGGGGGTCTCCAAGGCAACCCAGTCTTCAACTTTACAGCTTCAGGCAATGACCTCTCTAGGCTTTCATTCAGGGGCACCACTGACACGTGCCTGGCCTCAGCAGCTTTCAGGGGCAAACTCCATAACCTGCTTCACCTATCCTTAACTCTAAAACCAGGAGCACATGGCCAAAACTGCCAAGTCCTCCTGTTTGCTGGAACTGGAACATGGCCCCCTTGTTCAATTACATCTTCACCTGCCTTCTGTTTTCAGTGATTTCTTTCACTGACTAAGCTTGGCTGTTCTGGAATTTGCTCTGTAGACCAGGCTGGCCTCATACTCAGGAATCTGCCAGCTTCTATCTTCCAAGTGCTAGGATTAAAGGTGTGCCCCACCACACTGGGCTCTAAACTTTTCTTTAATTCCTCTTTGAAAAGGTGGAAGCTTAGCTGGGTGGGATCTTGGCCCAAGGTCAGCACTCCCTTCTTTCTAGTTCTTGATCCCTTTATCTCCTTGAACACGGGATTCCACTTCCTGGAGCTCCTTTTCTCCTTGAATTTTACATTTTGTAATTTACCCTGCTTAGCTTGCTCCTTTTCATTATAAATCTTCATTAGAGTTACCACTAATATCCACACAACAGATATACTAGGATGTTTTGAGATTTCCTCTGCCAACAGAATTAATCCAAAACTGTTCACATTAGCTTCAGGCAGACTCTTCAGACAAGGGCAAAAAGCAGCCACATTCTTCACCAAAATATCACAAGACCAGTCTCCAGGCCATATATTACCATTTTTCTCCTCGGAACTTCTTGATTCCCACAGTTCAAATCATTCTCAGCACCATTGTCTTTCATGCTCCTATTAATATGGTCAAGTAAGCGGTGCTTAAAGCATTCCACTGCTTTCTTAACCCAAAGTACCAAAATCCAATTCCTCCAAACAAAAACATGGTTAGACCTATTATAGCAATACCCCAATCTGTAGTACCAACTGTTTGGTTTAATCTTTAAAAAAGCTGCTCCGCCATCACAAATAACTCCAGTTAAACCAGATTAGACCAAATTAAAATGCCCGTGTTTAATAAATGCAGCACTCTCGGTGGACCGAGACAGCATGGCTGGGAGAGGAGCCCAAGCAAACCCTGGAGGCCACGTGTTCCTTTTCTCTGTGCCAACCTAAATAGCTAGTGGGAGCGGTCCTGAGCCTCCCCAGGGGAGGGGTCAGCGCTTGGCAGGCTGGGAGTTGGAGTCCAGACCAATGCAACTCCCAGGCCAGGGGCTGGGGTGATGCTTTCAATCATTCAAGAACTTCTGTCTTAGTTAGGGATTCTATTGTTGTGAAGAGATGCCATGACCATAGCAACTTCTGTAGAGGAAACGAAATTGATTGAAGTGGCTTACATTTTCAGAGGTTCAATCCATCATGGTGGGGCATGGCAACAGGCAGACAGACGTGGTACTGGCTACATCTTGATCAGGGGCAACAAGAAGTGGACTGTGATTCTGGGAGTAGCTTGAGCGAAGGAGAACTCAAAGTCCCCCCCACACACACTCAGTGACACACTTCCTCCAACAAGGCCATCACCTACTCCAACAAAGCCACCCCTCCTAATAGTGCTACCCCATTTTGGGGGCCGTTTTCGTTCAAGCCACCAACCACATCTTCTTAACAATTTAGCCGCTCTTGTTGGCATTAGCCACATCGTGTCTAATTTTGTTACATTTTGTGCTAAAGGCATATGTGTGGTATCACGATGAGCACCCCACTATTGGGGGATATTCAGACACACTGTGAACCCCAAGTTTGCATTTGTGTTAGTTAAATAAAATTAACCTTGTGTCAGGAGGCTGTGTTAGCAACTAGTTGACAGAAAGTAATCATAGAGCACCAAAAAGCACATCAGGGAGAGATAGAGAGATACAGGAAGTAGTAGGGTGAAGTCTGGAGTGGTGCGGGCTTTTTCGGTTTGGTGGAGCAGAAGCACAGGTCTTTCTCAGGTGCCAGTAAGGAGGGCAGGAAGCCTCTCTGAACTAGCAGGTTTTTACCCCAGTCCTTAGATCTTGAGTCTTATTTATAAATAGAACAATAGAGATTTAGTTACAGCGACCTTTAGTGGCAGTGGCAGGGCTGGTGTCTGTGGGAGCAGAATTCCCACCAGGCTGCAGCCCGAGTGGCCAGGTTGCTGCTAGAGAAGCCGACCTGTAACTGCGGAGTTGCAGCTGCTGAAATAGCAGTAGTTTAGGGCACAGCCACTGTGCGAAGTTAAGGCAACACTCCCCAAGCATCAGGTAGGAGGCACCTCCTCCCTTCCTCTTCATCCTCACCTCGTGCCATGCTGATATCTGGGTTTTCTACTTAGTTTTCATTGTTCCTTTCACTGCTTGAACTCAGACTCTCTCTGTTCAAAGGGTTATTTTGATGTGTCATACACTATCTAGTCCCTTTCAGAGACAGAGTCACTTCACGGGTCTGACCTCAAGCAGTCTGGGTTGGGCCAGTGCTCCATAGTCACCAACCTGTGCTTCCTCCCAGCTTCCATGCGGGCCCTGACAGTAACAGCGGCTCCATCTAGAGAGCAGGACTTCCGAAGAACCACACTCTCATACCCTCATCCACCAAACATCAGGAATATTGCACACACTCTGAACTGCGCCCTAGCGTGTCTGCCCAGAGAAGACCAAGGACTCTGCCTGCTGGACTCTGGGAGAAGACACGCTTCCCGCTTGATGTCTGTTGAAGGAAGCCCAGCCGCAGATCTGTGGAAGTGTTTCCGGGCAGTTTGCCTCGAACATGGTGTTGGCAGCAGGAACGGGACTCATCAGTATGCAAAAAGATGTCTTCAATGTCTCAGCTGCCTGATAAAGAAGCTTGGGGTGGGGGTGAGGTGGGGCGGGGTGGGGGTGGAGTGGGGTGGAGGTGGGTTGTGGTAGGGGTGGGGGTGGCTTCTGGAATCAGTGGCTGCTGGCTGACCCTTTCACTCTCTTTGGGTGCTTCCTCTCTTGATTGTTGGAGATTTTATGACTACTGTCGTTCGCTTCTGTTTATAATATTCCTGAGTGTATACACTATCTCACTTTTCAAACATTCATTAGATAGCCCACAGGAATCGTAAGACACTCTCCCAGAGGTACTTTTAATTGTCAAGGTAAATAGAGGTGGTTCAACACCAAGTTTTCCATTTTTATGAAGTTTGGAGCCAGGAGAGTCATTTACTGCTCATCATTTTGATTATTTTTCAAAAATCTTCCTTTTGGGTTTTGAAGATCATATAAAGGAAATGTGTGTGTGTGAGAGAGAGTTCTATTCCGCTTGCTTTCCTAGAAGAAATGGCTCAGGCAGGCTAGGAGCCAGTTCATGGGTGGAGCCAGATGCAGTGAAAGATTCTATGGAGAATAAGGGAAGGAGGGAGAGAGGAAAAGAGAGGAGGAGGAAGAAGGACACTCAGTTTTCTCCTTTGACCTCAGTGTGCACATACAAGGCACACACATGTGCATACACCGTACATAGCATATCAGGCTTGTGTGCACACACACATGAACTTATGAAGTGAGGAGTACACTCTTAGTAAGCAAATGGGATTTTGAATAGATCATAGGAGTCCAGTTGGCTGAGAGCTGGGACATAGTAAAGTCTTTGCTTTTTCTCGTGGATAGAAATAAGTTCCAGTTGGGTCCAAAATCATGAAACGTAGAACAAAGTCATAAACGTGATAGGAAAAAAATATAAGTGAAACACTTACATGAAAGCAGGGAACAGGGAGACACTGAAGAGAGTCACTGTGTCAGGATGGTTTTGACTAGGACACTGTTAACCAAGATCAGAGATCCAATGAATGGACA